ATTACCCCCCAGGAAACCAGCTGTCTGTCTGCCTGGCTGTCATCTAGCTAGTGAACGTGGCTGCTTATTGCCTAACTTGGGACGTTAAATTAAAATTGAAAGGTTAAAAAAAAATGGGACTCTAGTTTGAAAGAATTCATGTCAGTAAGGGCCATTTTATGTTAACTAAGGAAGATAAGTAGTCTTGGATATATGCTGGACCTAAATATTCATGTAGAATATTGTTCAAACTTCTTTGGGGATACTGTTGACTGTTGGCCAACAAACTTCCGTCAAGCCCTTCACCATAGGTAGTGGGTGTTGAGAACTCTACGTCATAAAGGAAAAACAAACGTGGTGGGAGGAACAAAGAAATCTATGTCATCAACACTCACTCAAGTTTTTCCAAATGGACCAAACTCCAGAAGAATCATTCGGCAAAATCAGAGACTCTGTGAGTAGAAGAAAAATGCTAGGTGTCTACTCATGGCAAGGTAGGTCTACATTCAAGATACGAATCTCTCTCAGATGACAAAGACCAGCAGAATGCGATCCAGAGACGCTAATAACTATTTGCATAATGAACACCAAACTGACGTCATAGTATTTTTTGCTTCCATGGCTAATTAAAGTATTCTGTAGTCAGTTGGATAATTCAAACATCATAGTTCAAAGACGCATTTCTAAGGAGAAACCATCCCACTGGTTAAGTGCACACAACTGACTTTTCCCGGCACGGGAAAAGTTCTCTATCAACGAAAGCAAACCGGATATGAGACCTGAACAAAAAGCCCATGAATCAAACAGCAGGCCCTTCTTCCCAATAAAGACGGAGCAAGTCACTACTGGCGGGACAATGTTAGGAAAGACGGAGAGTGGTCAAGGACACAGTTTTATTTATTTATTTATTTATTTATTTATTTATTTATTTATTTGACAGAGATCACAGGTAGGCAGAAGGGCAGGGGGGAGCAGGCTCCCCGCTGAGCGGAGAGCCTGATATGGGGCTCGATCCCAGGACCCTGAGACCATGACCTGAGCCGAAGGCAGAGTCTTTAACCCACTTAGCCACCCAGGCTCCCTAAGAACACACTTTTGAAGAACACAAAGCAAAGCCTTATAGAGAAGATCGCAGACTCCGTATTCTCAGTAGGATCATGATGAAGGTTTAGGACTAGGGAATTAATTCTAATAGGCTTTGCATGAGTCTATGGCAAATAGCCAAAACAGAATTACCTTCTCTAAGTCCTTTCAATAGTATTTAAATACTCTATTTCCATTTGGGTTCGCTGGGATGCTGTTATGTCTTTCTGTTGTTTGTTTTTGTGATGGTGTTGGATCTCATATTTTTGTTTTCTATTTCATTTACTTATTTATTTATTTTGGTCCTAGAAGGAAGAGTATCTGCTCCAAACAAGACAGCCTTCTCAGCAGTTATGACTCAAGAGCAATAAAGATTTTGGCACCATCGATACGATGATAAGGTATTCAAACTCTTGTCCCTGGGAAAATCTCTCAGTGGAGAAATGAACCATATCGCCTCGGTTCCTGAAAACACTCATAAATTTATCCTTCCAAGAGCTCAAATAGTTGAAGGCTGGTATGTGGGCTTCCTCCCACCTCAACCTAAAGTAGGATCTCAACTGACCAAGACCTCAAAGGCAGAAAGTACCAGAAAGTAAGGAGGATGAAGCATTCAATTAAGAAGTTAGTAGGGTTTTTTTGTTTTGTTTTTCTTTTCTTTCTTTCTTTTTTTTTTTTTTTTAACTTACATTAAGTCCAGAGAAGAGGAGGAGGTAGGCTGGAGAGCCTGTAGGCATTGAGAAGTCATTGTGTTCTTCACAGGAACCTACACTAGTGTTAGGATGTGTGCTTGCTTGCTCAAAAAAAGAAAAAAAAATCTAAAAAATCCAGAGACACAATTACCCAACACAGAAATCACAGAAGAGCCATAATCTATGAGTAAGTGTGGCTCCGTGGGCCTCAATCCAAGTTGCGTTACTGGCGTTGCATGGGCGAGAACTTTGGAGGTTCTCCAGTGGGTCCACGCTGGTCTGGAGAGAAGCGTCTCCCTCTGAACTCAGCTCTGGAGAACATTCTGAGCTGGACCTGCCTGCAGGGAGATGTGTCGAGAGGAAGGCGACCTTGCAGTCCCACGGAAAGGGAGTGGCCCCTGGTTGTCTGGACGGTGTCTCTGGGGGTTGCCCTGAGCCTGGATGCACACTCAGCCAAAGCAAAAGTCTGTTCATGGACCACCGCCCTACTGCTCCCACCCAGCGAAGCCCCAGCATCTGCGCCTGACGTGCTTGGACGGGGCCCTCCACTGACCAATGCCTCCAAAGGCTTAGCTTCTGATCTAAATTTAATACAGTGCTACTTTCTTGTTTAATTCAATGTACCCAAAATTCAGTTCAAAGCCTGTATGTGTGTGTGTGTGTGTGTGTGTGTGTGTGTCTGACTCAGACCTCTTTCCCCACTGCTCACCCTATCAACCCATTCGGTCATAATGGACAGAGGCAATGACCTTGAACGGGGTCCCCATTTGGAGTACCCAAGCTTCACACTTCAGGGCTCACCCGGCTTGGGTCCAGACGCCTCCCTGACCCCACACAACCACTCCCAGGCCAGGTTACACCCAAGACCTGGTGACCCTCCTCAGAGCCTTTGCTGGTCTAGTTCTAAGAAGCAGAAAGAACAAAGCAGGACCAGCCACCTCCGCCAAGGACGCACAGCCATGCTCCTTGTACACACAAAGGATCTGCTCTTTTCATAAACGGACGTGCCCGGGAGCAGGAGGCAGTGAGGGGGAGCTGCGCACGTCGAGATGGGCTGAGGTTCCTGGGACTATGAATGTGCCACTGCAGGGTTAGCCGCCCCAGGCCCTGGATGTCCCAGACGCTAATTGCAAGTCTACTTGGTGGCCTTTGAGAGGAAAGAAGAAACAGAAGCCGTCAACAGAGGGCACGTCAGCTCTGACGAGAGGGGCATGCCTGCCCCCAGAAGAGAACACACTGTCCTGCATGGTTAGGAATCATTGCCTTCATTGCCTTGTAGACCCTAAGACCCTGGGCAGCCTACCCTCCAGCTCAGCACAGAGGAGCTGACAAAGAGCTGTCCCTTGAATGCACGGGCTTTGCACACCCACACCTGAATCCCAACACACAGCACAGACACCAGCAGTAGCCATTTCTCATGTAGGAATCACTTCTAAAACATTCTTTCCTCTGACAAATCAGGGCTATTGCTTACAGCTTTGTTAGAACATGTGAAACTCTTAAACTTTAGGAATGAACCTTTGCTCCCTTCTTGCTTGGGTTGTTTGGCAAACTGTTCTTTAAACTATCCTTTTTTTTTTTTTAATTCATTCAGAATTTTTCAAAAGTCACAAAGAACACATGGTTTGGTGGTTTCTCATGAGACTCCTCATTGGGTCTGGAAATCAAGGGCTAGTGCATTTGTAACGGGGCCATGAGGTTTCAACCAGAGGGAAATGCAGATGCCCAGGCCCCATTCTCAAATGCTCTGGCTCCTCATGGGGCTGGAAATCTGCATTTGTAGCCTGTTCCCCATGATGGTGCAGGACTAGAACACAACTTTGTTAGAGAATGCCACCTCCGTGAGCCACAGTAAATGGGGACGGGGACAAGGGTCATCTGTCATAATCATTTCTGTGCAGGGCAGGTGACAGAAGGCGTTGACTCCCATCTGCAACAACTGCCTGATGTTTCGCAAAGAGCCAGACCAGCCCTGGGCTACAGGGAAGCTCTCCTCCACATTCTGTACCAAGATCAAAGGGATCATGCCACAAAGGTCAGGGGCAGCGGGAACGTCCCCCAACTGTGTGCACAGAGTGAAATGCCAACTTTCGAGGCTGCCTTGGACAAGCTAGGTGGGGAATAAGGGTACCACGAGACAGATGTTCACTAGACTTGCCATCCATGGCTTTCCTTCTCTCTCATGCCTTATTAAAAAGAACCACCACTGGTGAGCCTGGGTGGCTCAGTGGGTTGAGCTACAGACTCTTGGTTTGGGCTCAGGTCATGATCTTAGGCTCATGGGATCAAGCCCTAAGTCAGGCTCTATGCTCTGTGTAGATCTCCATGCTCTCCCTCTCCCTTTGCTCCTCCCCCTGCTCATTCTCTCTCTCTCTCCAATAAACAAATAAAATCTTAAAAAGAAGGAGGAGGAGAAAAAGAAATGGAGGAAGAAGAGGAAGGAGGAGGAGGAAGAAAAGAAATGGAGGAAGAGGAAGGAGGAGAAGAAATGGAGAAAGAAGAGGAAATAGGAGAAGGAGGAGGAGAAGGAGAAGGAGGAAAAGAAATGGAGGAAGAAGAGGGAGGAGGAGGAGGAGAACCACCATAAGCTCAGACCAGAGAAGCCCCAGTGTCTGAGATATGCTCGTAGCGCCATCTTGGTTGGGTCCACTCCAAGATGGTTGATGTGCATCTCCATTTCTTAAACATGAGGCCCACGAGTAGGGCTCAGAAAGTACTCAACAGCATTTGCAACCAGGATCGAGGTTACAGATAGGTGTCCACTGCTCAGGCTGGACAAGTAGAGAGAGCAAGCACTACAGGATTTGCTAGAGCAAGGCGGAGCCAGACACATTCATGATGGAATTATCTGCAGCCCAGAACTGGCAACCAGGAGACGCACCTGCTGGCAGTTGCATCAGACAGTTCCGGCATGAAGACATGCTACTGAGGCCCCCCAGCCCTGGAGACAGGCACGGAATGGAAACAAGGTCCCACTGTCACAAATATGCAATCAACCGGTGCATTCGAACGTTTTCATCATAAGATGCCCCCACAGAGCAATGCTATCACTGGGACATGCTTACTGCTATTCAGCACTCTCCGGGGGGACTGGAATTCCCCAGAAGAAATGCACAAGACAGACATCCCCACCCCCGAGTGCCGCCTCCACCCACCCACACTCATGATCCAACGTCCAGGCCTGCTGCTCAGCTTCCAACACCAACTTGGAACAAGGACAAGACCCACGAGGCTCGAGAACACTACCTTTGTCATTCAAAGTCTCCTCTTGTATTTGTCTCACAGCTTCCTGGGCTTTGCCAGCATTATTTCCAGCTATAAGGAAAAAAGAAAAAAAGAAAGGTATGATCAGTGGACAGGTCCTCCAGACATTATCGAGCACGAGAAAATGTTGTCTTGAGATGCAAAACACAACCTCGAAGGGGGCTCTTTATGGCTTGTCATCGAGCCCTGGTGTGGAACGGGGCCACCAGCACAGCCTTGGCCAAGGCAACATATCGACTGATGGAGGATTGCCTTTAGCTTGCATTGGCGAGAGGAAGAATGTCCCTGTCTTCGATTACTGGGGTGTGACGCAGCTGGCGGCACAAAGAACATGGGGCGGGGGGCAGGAGAGAGCCAAGGATCACGTGAGCATAAAGATGGTGGCAGGAAGGTCAGAGCACACATAGAACTTTCTAAGAAACTTTAGTGGACACCCGCCTCCCCCCATTCACTGGTGGTCTGAGCTCCAAAATGAGCGTGGGCCATTCCCTCTATGAATGTGGGATTTCCCATTTCCTCATCGAGGACTCTGTACAAACTCCACAGGTATGAGTCTGGGGAAACGTGAGCTTAGAAGAATGGCCACGCGTGTTTTGTGTATGAGGGACATCGCCATTAAAATAGAGATGGTGACATCTGGGCGTTAAAATAGTGAATGAGGTTTCTTTAGTGTCTCACTACATGGCAGTGCATTGATGTTTGGAGGAAGACATCTTGTTTTCAACTGTGTCCCTGAGTACACAGTCCGAATTTTAAGGTGTGCCGAATGGGGCTGCCATTCGGGAAGAAGATCAGGACACCCCGTCTTCCCACACACCAGCGCTCACGATCAACTGGACCACAGGCAGATGTTCAGCTCCTTTGTGGGGTGAGCCAACCCCGAAACTCCCTGCCAGGGTGAGTCATGGGAGCGCTTCTGTACAAGGCGACTGGAATTGGCATTTAAGGAACACAGGCGTGGGAGTGAAGCTCCTAGAGCCCCAAGAAGTGACAGGTGGCATGAGGACAGCAGGAGAGACACCTGGCCTGGGAGGACCAGGTCCTAAAGGGGTGGAGTGGCTCACATCACCCTCCCACTTGCATCCAGCCGCTGCTGGCCAGGTGTTCTCTGGGGTACAACCCTCTTGAGATCTCCATGAAAACGTATCACCAAGCAATCCGTTCTGGAGACATTTCTACATGCTGTTTTCCTCTATTTTGTTTCATTTTTATATTCAAACTAACGTACAAGGGGTCCTGCTATGGATCCCCCCACCACTTGATCCTGCACTAATTAGTCTGTGTCATTGACAAGTGTCCCCCTGCCCCCGCCAAAAAAAAAAAAAAAACCAAACCCGATGGAACACCCTTCCCAGAAGCAGAAGGCTTTACAACAAAGAGTTAAGGAAACACAGACAGCAGAAGCAGTGAACGTTGTGAAATCAGAAACGTCTTTGGCTCCAGCTGGAGATGAATCTGAGATAAATATGGCAAAAGACATCTTCAGGGGGTGAAGTAAAGGATTATATAAGGCGCCACCACCTTAAAGGAGTTCAAAGTTGCAGACGTCAAGAAAACGCAGCTGTGATAGTATTCACACCTTCGGCTCCCTTGAAGAAAGAGCGTATTACACGGTTGTTAGATTTTTGCTCAGAGGGTCTTCCTGTGTTGCGGGGTGCACAGTCGGACAGGATGCCATACCGGAAAGTTATATTCCATCTCTAAATGTTCTAAGCCTCAAAGACGACAAAATAAAATTCACCTTTCTCTAAGCTGGGGCTGTGTACATGCATGAGCTTATTTTGGAATTTCCATGCCATTTTAAAATATTCAAGAGACATCCACTGGCAGGCTACACTTCTGGCATTCGCCATCTTAGCATCAAAGGTGGCCCAGTGGGAGCCTGCGTGAAGTGGAATAGAAGACGCTCCACATTCCGAAAGAGGTATCAATGGCCAGAGAAAGCAGGGGGCATCCAACCAGGAGGGGAAACTGGTCATGGTAACACCTCCCCTCGATGGGCAGGTCACTACTCTCCCTAAGGCCTTGCATTAGAAGCATGGACACAGGCACTCTTTTGGCAAAGGTCATCTTCATCAGCTGGCTCCCCAGAGTTGGATATGGAACCTTGACCCTATGCAATTGTTAGAGATTTCCTACATTTACTGACCAAATATTGCATGCGAGGTAGAGTACTTGACCAGAATGGAAGGTAGACACAAGCACAGTGGGTCTGCCTTCGGCTCATGCTTTCGGTGGGGGGCTAAATTTAAAGACATTGAACCCAAACCAGGGCCAGCCAACTAGGAACCTGGGGCCACATCCAATGATTTCCCTGATGTGAAAAGAAAAATATATATATATTGGAACAACAGCCATACCCATAGCTTTAAATATTGCCAATGGTGCTTTCCGGCTATCAAGACAGAGCTGACCACTGAGAGACACACTTAAGCAAATATTTATTATCTGGTCCACACCAGAAACATCTACTGGCCCCTGATCTCAAAAGCCATCTTTTAGATGGCTATTCATAAAGAATTATAAAGACAGATCCTCCACCAAAACAGTATTTTGAAACTATGAGAACTGAGATACTGTGAGCAAATGAGAAATTTAATAATTAATGTATTTATGGTAATATTAATGTGCTTGGGTTGAATTCACATTCCCTTTTCCAATTCTTCAGCAAGTACCTGATTATTGTTTAAACATTAATGGACTCAGGATTGGCAAACTTGAAATTGAATATACACATCTCTTAGCTTCCATTTAGTGTGAAATTTACATTAAAGTGTCCGCGATAATATTTTGTTAAGTGGCCTTGTATCAAACTGTCACACAAGATGAAACACTGTCCCTCTCAGAATATATGCAGTTATGCCCTGAAGGACCCGGGGAGGAGGGAACATTCACACTTGATTGGACTGAGCGGGTCAAACTGTGACCCATGCAGACACCAGAAGCTCTGTGGGAAAGAAGATGCAAGAGGTGGAGAAGCACAGGAGCACTCTGTTTACTTCAAGAGAAGGAGAACTTTGGTGCAGGCAGGACTGTTCCTGGTCTCAGCGAACTTCACCTAAATGAGGAGGTGATAGGAGAGTCAGGGTTCCAGTCCTCACATGCATGAGTACCACATGCTCCCTCACATGCCTTCACTGCATTCTGTCTATAGATCACACTCCTCACTCAACTAGAACTGAGCATGACCTAACCCCAACCTGACTTTCTAGGGACTTACCCAACTAGACCTCCTCATGAGCCACCCAGCTAGAACCCTTCATCACCTACCAAACTAGACCCCATCATCGCTTAACCCAACTAGACCTATCATCACCTAACCCAACTAGACCTCATCACGACCTACCTGACCAGACTACATCATCATCTAACCCAAACAGACCCCATCATCACCTAACTGAACTAGACCTCATCATCACCTACCTGAACAAGACCTCATGATCCACCCAACTAGACCTCCTCATGACCTACCTGACCAGACTTCATCATCACCTAATCCAACTAGACCTTCTCATCACTCACCCAACTAGACCTCCTCATCACTCACCCAACTAGACCTCATCATCACCTACCTGAACAAGACCTCATGATCCGCCCAACTAGACCTCCTCATGATTTACCCAACTAGACCCCATCATGACCTAAGTCATCTATCTAGACTTCATCATGACTTAAAATACCACACTGAGGTAAAAAGCACAGAAATGGAACAATTTTTTTTTTCTTTGCATTGCAATAATGCCAAGTTTCACAAAGAATTAAGACGAAGAAGACAAGTATACTTCAGAAGTCACAAGAGGCGGAGATAACCAGTGCTGGATGCCAGTCCCCGGCTGCTCAGACTGAGGTTCCTCCCCATCCTGCTCTACCAGCTTCCTTCTACCACAGGCCAAACTCCAGCGGGCTCTCAGAGAAGACTTTGGCTCCTTCTGTCCATGATGTGATGTCACTTTGTTTTTTTGTTTTTTGTTTTTAGTTTTTTAAAAATTTTCTTCATTTGAGAGAGAGAGAGAGAGAAAGTGAGAGCATGAGTAGGGGGCATGAGGCCAAAAGGAGAGGGAGAAACAGACACCCCGCTGAGCAGGGTACCTGACGCAGGGCTCGATCCAAGGACCCTGAGATCATGACGTGAGCCAAAGGTAGATGCTTAACTGACTGAGCCACCCAGGTGCCCCCCTGATATCACTTTGATCAAGTCATCCCAGATGGTGGCGAAATCCAAGACAAGGCAGTAGTCTCCCAGAGACCTGATTCCCTCTGATCACACACCATGTCTCCCTGATGTGCTCAGGTCCCAGGAAGAGAGAAACACATCACGTGGATGCTAAAATTGAAGAGGAGTTCCAGAAATGCACACTCAGATGGGTCCCCTGTCCTGCAGGACCCCCTCATCTGCCAATGACTACTCTTCATCTGGGTGGGGGAAGTAGATATCGATGTTGGTAAAGACTGTCCTTGCAAAGACTTGTCAAAAACTGTTCTATCATTTCCACATTGATTCAGAGAACACGGATGTGGACCCATCTCTGAAGAAAAAAATAACACGGTTGAGGAAAATAGTGAGGTCCACCAAGAAGTAATCGTCCCCTCCCAACGCCTGGCAAATGTATACCGTTCTACAGACCAGTTGGCTCATGAGAGAAAGGTGCCTACTTGGGTCCATGAGGGAGGAAACACTGTAAGAAACTGCACTTTTTCAAAAGAGTGACACATGGGAAGGGCCATGCAATACAAAAATTTTAAGTTGTGGAGTCATGTTTGACAAAAGTGAGAAGAAAATATTAAAGTTAGGAGCATGAGTCCATTTGATTACAGGAATCAACAGCTAAGTGTACCCATGTGAGTCACGCCTCTGTGAGGACAACAGAAGGCCACACTGGCTAGACCTGGGGGCTCTCCATCTGGGTTAAGAGCCCCCTCGGAGATACCCTCCCCCATGGAACTCAGGGGTCTTTGAGTTTTAACACAAGCAATCAACATCATCATGGTGGCCAACCCCAATGTCTTGTCCAAATGTGGACAAGACACGGAAGTAAGGGCAGGGTCTCTGACTTGGCCACCGACACAAACCAGAGATATTTTCAGACCCAAGTCAGGATGTTGAAGCTGTCCCAAAATAGAGTTTAAGATCATCACAGCTTCCAACCAGTAGGAGTTATTGAACCCACAGTACATCATGTTATTTGTCCTATAAAGATTTCATGTCTATAATCACGTGGCAAGTTTGTGTTCTTATACATTTTTATATCTGCATCTCAGTATCATTTGGTTTATAATGTTGTGGATTTTAGTTGGTGCATTTAGGCATTACTAGATGTTTGTGGGGACCAAAGACCGAGCTTGTCAAGAGCCAGGAAGCAGTGGAACACATTCATGTTTAAATACCCTGCCCCAACTGTAGATTCTGACCTAAAATTATCCTTCAAAAAATGATGGCGGGCAAAAGATGGAGAAGAAAAATGGGAGAAAGGAAGAAATAAATCATTATTGAATAAGTAAATGTCCATGCGTAATATTATGTAGAAAGTCTTAAGTAAAAACAATCCTTAACACCTAAAACCAGACGTATAATATGATTTCTGTAAAAACAGACACCACAAAAGGTATTAATTTAATGCAAATGATGTCAGTAGGAGACATAATTAGCATGAAGTGTTTTTTTTTTTTAAAGGTAATGTCCACAGTATCATTTTTCCCAGCAGATTAAAAATTGTACCCCCAATTCACTGGGAAAATTAACAAAAGTACAATGGTTTCGTTTGAACTCTGTTTGCTTTCCCAGGCAAAGAAAATACCTTCGTTTTCAAAGAGGAGTTAGACACCAGGGTAAGGAGCAGAGAGAGCGTTCCAAAAGAAGAATGGACAATGTAGTCTATGGGATGCAGCTGCAAAGGAAGCCAGTCTTTGAACACCTGTTCCGAGTTGACACTGGAAGTTGACACTGGAAGACACTACATCGTGTCTTCCCCAAATTCATATGTTGAGGCCCCGACCCCACAGGAGCTCAGAACCTTACTTATTTGGAGAGGGTGTCTTTAAAGAGGTGGTTAGGGTAAAATGAACCCAATGACATGGGTCCTCATTGCACTAGGACCAAAGTCCTTACAAGGGCCACGTTAGGTGTTTCCCAGATGGGTTTTACCTATAAGCAAATCACTGTTTCTATATGAGCCAATGACGGAGTACCTTCCATTAGCCAACAACACAATCATCACCTATGATCACACGCATGCCGAGTCTCGCCAGGTGCCTCGCCGTGGCATAGCCGATTCCATCCGCGCCTCCAGTCACTACAGCCACGCGGTCGGGTTGTGGGGCCAAAACTGAAGAAGAAAAGGGAAAAAAAATATATATGTATATCAAAGTGAGTTTTAGAAGCGGATTGGCTGGATTAGTCCCGAGTCATTCCAACCTGGTCAAAGACACCTGATAAACGCTTGCTCACCCCCAGCGGAGGCCTTGGCAGACGCCAGCTAGAGTATCAGCACAATGACTGGCAGAAAGGTCGGGAGCCCACGTGGGAGTAGCATTTATGAGCGTGGATGACGCCCCAGGACCCACACTCCCAGGCAACATGGGGCAGGAAGTAGGTTTTACTACTATTTAGGTATGGAGGAGGACAACAAACCAGGGGATGAACACCTGCTGTTGCAATGAGTTTGTGGAACACAGTTTCCGAGAGGAGGGGGCATGCATGCCACATCACCCCCCACATGGGGAAGCAGCAGGATGGGTCAGGAGGCAGAGGGACACAGAAGTGTGGACAAGAATCTCTACTGTGGGAAGAAATGGGTCAGGGAAGCAGGCTCAACAGGTTTAGAAGAGTCTGGTGTGAATAATTTCAGCAGATTCTGGGTCACAGGAGCTGTCCCTACGTGTGTGTCCCTGGCCCTGCGGTGATTTGCGTGGGCAGGGTAGACACTGGCCAACGATGTGGTCACGGACGTGGTGGGGAGAGGGCTGTGGATTGCCCGGTTTTCGTTGGAAAGCTGTGCTCCTGAGAGAGTCACATGCTACCTCTAGGAACCGGCCAGCCCTGGGAGCTGGAGCATTCGATGAAGGTGACAAAGATGAACTTTTATTTTATTTTAATTTATTTTATTTTAGATTTATTTATTTATTAGAGAGAGGCAGAGGAGAATCTCAAGCTGACTCCACACTGATCATAGAGCCCAATGCAGGGCTGGATCTCACAACCTTGAGATCACAACCTGAGCGGCAACCAAGAGTCAGACGCTTAACCGACTGAGCCACCCAAGCACCCCAAAGATGGACTCTTTAATAAATGGTGTTGGAACATGTAAATAGACATTAAGAAAAAAAGGCAAAATTAGACCCATCTAAACATCAAAATTAACCATGGGGTAGAAGTTACACAATGAACATATCAGGGGGAAAACAGCATGAATCCATTTATTTTTAACCTCAAAGTATGAAACGTCTTCCTAATCATAAGTTGAAGTTGAGAAGAATAAGTAGATAAATTTTGCTACCAAAATAATTTTGCGTGGAAAAAAAAAAAAACACACCAAAAGCAAAGTTCGAAGTAAATGATATATTAAAAAAAAAAAAAAAAGAAACTTGGAACCCTGATCACATGCAAAAGGCTATTTTCCTAGTATGTAAACAGTTCTTACAAATCAAGAAAAATAACACTCTAAGGAAAAAAAAAAGGGTGAACATAACTGTGTATAAGAAAACATACAACATGACACAGTCCTTACAAAGGCATGTAAGACTTTACCCAATGAGAGGCATGTTCACGAGAACTCACTGAGACACCATTGGACTTGACAAGAGCAAGCACTTTGACACCATGCTTCTCTGTCACAGTGCTCGCAAGCAGGGGCTCATGTATGCCATGGGCAGGAAAGCAAGAGGGGAAAACCCCCATGTGGGTGGGGGTCCTTGGGTGATATCTAGTGCAACGTGAAACACACTCAGGCTGTTGCAGCAAAATCACTTCTAGGAATGTGCCCTGGACCATGGCAGACGCCCCATTTCTCCCTGCAGCTGTGTCCCTGGTGTCCGCAGTCATGCAGACACCAGTCAGCAACCCTAAGTGGCCCTTGAGTGCAGGTGAGTAACTCCACCTGCAGTCATGATGGGCTGTGAATACATGTGTAACATTGGAAAGGTGATCATTCGGGGGTTCTCAAGCTCACAGTGGTGCTCCCAACTGGACATTCACGACCCCTGTGATAAACTATGAAGGTATTAGGGAATAATGCCCTGAAAGAGCTCATGGTCCTGTGGGACGTCATCCAAGTACTAAGAGCTCATATGTACTTCTAAGCGTGGTATCTGCACTCATGCAGGAGGTCTCTCTGCTGTTGGGATAATCTCCGTGCAACATGGTGACCATTCCCAGTCAAGACTTTGTCTCAGTCGTATGGGCCCAGGGGTGCTCATTTGTGTTCAGGATCCCATCCAGAAGGCTTTTGTGTGCCCTATGTGGGAAGAACAACCCTCTGCAACTGTGTCTTTGACTGGTCTGCCCTCCCGCCTCGGCGAGGGTTGCCTGGGGGCATACACCTCCTCACAGGTTCCCTGTTCCTCACTGCCTGGCCCAATGGCAGACATCAGGCATGAATGTTCAGGGACTTAATGAGCTAACCCATCCATCGCTGGATCAAGCAGATAGAAGGCCACACCTACTCCAAAAGGAAATGTGCCATGATGTGAATGTGGGTATTTCCTCCTAAAATTCATGTGTTGAAGGCCAACCCTCCACGGGACGGGATTGGAGGTGGGGGTGTTTGGGAGGTGATCAGGTGATGAGGATGGAGGTGGGATCTTTGGAAGGTCATCAGGTGATAAGGGTGGAGGTGGGGGTCTTTGGGAGGTGACCAGGTCATGAAAGTGGGGGATCTTTAGAAGTTCACCAGGTCATGAGGGCAGAGCCACCATGACTGAATTAGTGTCCTTATAAAGGAGACCCCAAGGAGACTCCAGGCCCCTTCGACTGTGTAAGGACCCAGCCAGAAGAACGCCATCTACAAATCCATTCTAGCAGTTCCTTAATTTTGGACATCCAGCCACCCCAATGGCAGGAAGTATCTGCTACTGAACCCCCCCCACCAAAATCACTCCATGCTGTGTTTGTTATGGTGGCCCAAATGGGCTAAGACAAGATGCCCTCATCCCAGGCAGATCTCCTGCCTGATGCTCAGGACATGCTGAGAAACAGAAGCATGTGAGGAACGGGCATGATGACAGAGCAACGTCTACACCCACCACCCAGGAATGGAGGGGGGGTGCCTAAGAAACCACATGACCACCAGGATCCCGTCTGACTCCTTAGTATCAGTGAGAAATGGACATAGGAACCCTGAACCACCTTCAACGCCAAGAGCAGCAGGTGGTCTTCCAGAATGCTCTCCCAAGGACAGCATCACCTTCTTCTCAAAGAATGCTCCTTGGGCTTCGATACTAAGTATGAAAGGTATTCAGAGGGATCAGAAACAGGAGGTGCATAATGGACACCCTACTCCAAGCCACCATGACGTTTCTGTGTGAACAGAGCGAGTCCATGAAATGTCTTTCCAGGCCCATGGTTGCTTGCTCCACGCCCTGAAGGTCGTTTCCTACCCAATATGTTTGCATCCAGTGTCATCTTCCATTTCACCAGAACAAGGATGGCACAGGTCCTCAGAATGTCTTCTCCCAAGGCCATGATGTGCCAAGTAAGTGGGATCGGCTTCCTGCCAAGCATGGCTCAGCCCACACGGGGGTCCCTGAAGTTATCTCCCAGCTGATACCATAATTTTGAGTCCCAAGAGCCATAAGTGAGTTGACCCTGGAAATCTAAAAAAATTTCATCTCTACGTAGCTCATCATGTCTGTTTCAGAATGTTTCTCAACCACGAGAAGAGCCCACAGAGCACTTGGACCACAGGTGAGAAGCAGGAACTCCAGGTCAAAATCGAGCATAGGGATTTCCAACAGGGTTACGCCTCTCCAAGGAGGTGTTTGTAGGTCATGGTGGGAAGGAGCACAGGGCTGAACTAGCCAGGACTCCAACCACCTGCTCAGCCTGCCAATCAGTCCTATCTTTGATAGGATACAATCATCCTAAACACAGTCAACTGTCCAGTGACGGGCACATGGGGCAAGTCTGTCCCCTCTCCCAAGCTTGGCTGGATATCCATTGAGAACCAGTGCCACCCAAACACAAACGTATCATCCTACAGTTCTGGAGGTCACAAATCTCCATCTCAAGGTCAGCTGATTGGAAATCTTAATTTCCGTCCGCAATGTTTATTTGCCTTTAGCTTCATGACGACATAACTTAGAGTTTCCAGGGCTTAGGACACGGATGTCTTTGGGGGACAGGATTCCATCCCCCAAAATCGGGAGCCAAAATTACTGGGCACACGACTCAGATGGAGAAGCCTGACCTTGCATCAGCGTATTCTGTGAAATGGCCCCAAAGTAACAACAGGAAGACATGGAATTGGAACCATAACACCCCCATCCGGACTCGGCACGTGGTACATGTTCTCAAAATGGAACAAGGAGGCCTACGGTACCAACTCACACCAAAGACAGGCAGTGGCAAGAACAGGGTGCTCCACAGCCAGTAATTATTGGCTGTACCCCAGAAATATATGCCCTGGTTGGTGAGGACAGGAGGGGACTCGTTCACAGCAAAAACCCGCACAGCCGTTTCCATGCCGATCTATAAATAAACACATACACATGCACTTCACCAACAACTGTGATTTACGAGACACAAGAATCACCAAAAGTGTGATAAATGGCACCAACCGCTCAAGGTCATGAGTATTGTTTCTGGACATAAAAACTTACAGTGGAAAACTTAATTTTGCAAGACAGCTGTTACTAAGCCTTCCCCTACCACGTATTACTTGCCCTTTGGAAAAAGAACACTTGTATTTTCCCGACTTCAAATTTTAAACACATGCATTCCCCAGCCATTAAGCTTCCCAGGATTCATCCAAATAAAAAGAAACAATTCGAAATTAAAAAAAAAAAAATTTCTTTTTTCGGGTTAAATGTTGAACGTGCCAAAGTACAATGTACAAAAGTTGGTTATACAAAGCACGTAAATAAAGGATGGGGGCAATTGATCAAATCCGAAAACTCAGTCCCTGAGATAGATTTGAACCAGCCAAGAAGATTAAAAATCATATGCAGCTCTCCTGGTCATAAGACCCCTGCCATGGAGCTCTGAGGGCAAATTCAGCTCTGAGCTTCCTAGCGGCCAAAGAGAAAAGGGAAATAATACCAGAGATGGCTCTCAGCAGCTGACCCCGTGCTTCCCCCAACATGGGCCTCATATTGGCTTAAATACACACTG